CAATCGCGAACCATTTCAACTCCCCCTCCCATTCCTCAGATGACATGTCCATCCTGGGCCTCCTGCAGTGCCACAATGATGCCACCCGAAGGTTGCAGGAACAGCAACTCATATTCCGCTTGGGAACCCTGCAGCCCAATGGTATCAATGTGGATTTCACAAGCTTCAAAATCTCCCCTCCCCCTACCGCATCCCAAAACCAGTCCAGCTCGTCCCCGCCTCCCTAACCTGTTCTTCCTCCCATCTATCCCCTCCTCCCACCTCAAGCCCCACCCCCATTTCCTACCTACTAATCTCATCCCACCTCCTTGACCTGTCCGTCCTCCCTGGACTGACCTAACTCCCCACCTACACTCACCTTTACTGGCTCCATCCCCGCCTCTTCGACCTGTCTGTTTCCTCTCCACCTATCTTCTCCTCTGTCCATCTTCTATCCGCCTCCCACTCTCTCCCTATTTATTTCAGAACCCCCTTCCCCTCCCCCATTTCTGAAGGAGGGTCTAGGCCCGAAACGTCAGCCTTCCTGCTCCTCTGATGCTGCTTGGCCTGCTGTGTTCATCCAGCTCTGCACCTTGCTGTCTCAAAAATAAAACATTTACTTTATGAGCAGTTTTGTTTCAATGTTTTGTTTTAAATTGAATTCTCAAAGAAATTACACTTTCATACATTTTTCATGACATCATTATACATTTTCATTACAGCTGCGGGTCATGACAAAGTATTTCCATGTGTTGTTTTTAATTCTCTCCTGCTTGTTTTGACAGATTCTGTCACTTTCTCTCTCCTACATGTACATCAAACGGCTCTGCAGCCTGAAAACCCCAGTTCGATACTAACCCAGAAGTCATAATTTACAAATTACTCTTCAAAATTCAGCTTTTATCATCAGAATAAAATAATTTGAAGAAAGTACAACTTGTATTCTCACAGAAACTTGCTGCAGCCCCTTCATAGAGACATCACCACAAACGAACTGATTGTACATACAAACATCCTAGAAAGGAGGAAAGATTCTCAAAGAGGGTTAAACCAAACACAGATAACCAAGGAAGTTAAGGAGAGTATAAAGTTCTCATTATGTTGCCCCTCATGGGAAAGTCTAGGATCAGAGGTCATGGCCTCAGAGTAAAGGGGCTCTAATTTAAGACTGAGATGAGGAGGGATTTCTTCGCGCAGAGGTTTTAGATTCTTTGTAACTCTTTGCCACAAAGAGCTGTGTGGGGCAGAGTTCTTGTGGATATTTAAAGCTGAGATAGATTCTTGATCAGTCAGGGAGTTAAGGGTAATGGGGAAAGGGCAGGAAAGTGGATGTAAGGATCAGTCATGATCCCATTGAATGGCAGAGCAGGCTTGAGGGGCTGAATGGCCTATTCCCGTTCTTATTTCTTATGGTTTTAGGATTGGCTCCAACTCAGTCCAAAAGGAAAGGGAGAAAGACAATGCCTTCAGAAGGAAACTCCAGAGTATGGGATCTAAATGTCAGATGCACAGTTCCAATGGAAAAGCTCAGTAATTGGACACAGGGAGATCTCCCTAGCCATTCTTCAAAATGTCGTCATGGGATCTTTTATGTTTACCCAGCAGGACAAGTTTGGGTTGGCTTAACATTTAATTCAGCATAACTACACTTCTAACAATGCAGCACTCCGTCAACACTACACTGGGAGCGTCAGCCTGGACTTTGTGCTCTAGGCCTGGACTGGGACTGGAAGCACATCATCTGACAAGAAACAAGAGCTGGACAGTGAGATTGTACAAAGTTGCAACATCTCATCAAGGGCAATTAGGAATGGCCAATAAATCTGTCCGAGTCATCACCACTTCACTCCCAGGAATGAATAATTAAGTAGTTGGTGTTGCCATGAGACAGTGACAGGAGAGTGAAGTGAAGAGGGTGAGGCTAAAGGCAGTGTCTTCATGTTTCCAATGTTGAAGTGAAGGACACCGAATCACACAGGGCAGGGAGTTCGACACACCGGTGATGACAAAGAAGCAATGGAGGTGACCTCGAGTCAAGGATGGTTATTGTATACGGTGATCTGATCTAATTCAACAATAAAACATTTCAATCATTTGATAATTTGAACAAAGCAACTCTAAATTTAACATAATATTTTAAAAAGATAAATTTAAATGAAGTAATAACCTCCAATTGTGGACATCTTGCTGACCTGAATGAAGAACTCACTTCCTAAACTAGGCAAGATACAGAGACAGGTACAGGCCATTCAGCCCTTCATACCTATTTCCCCATTCTGTGATATGGATTGTGGTCAATATTGGGACTCCGAGTACCTACCACGCCTATGTAGCCCATAGGAATATCAGACAGCAAAAAAAAATCTGTTTTAAAATTATTCAAACACCACCAGCTTCTGCCTTTTGTGACAGTGACTTCTAAACTTTGACCATGCCTTGTGTGAAGATGGTTTTCTCAACTTTCCCACTGTACAATCTGCCTCTGATGTGAAGGTTACATCCTCATGGCCGAGACTCCTTGACAACTGGAAAAAAAACTTCATGATTCCTTAGAAAATCCTAAAAACCACATGGTACAGAAGCAGGAGGCCATTCAGCCCATTGAGTCTACTCCAACATTCACAATGAGACCATGGCTAACATGATAATCTTCAGCTCTACTTTCCTGCCTTTTCCCCATAAGCCTCGACTTCCTTCCTGATTAAAAATCTGTCTCAGCCTTGAATATACTTAATGACCCAGCCTCAACAGCCCTCTGCGGTAAAGATTTCTGCAGATTCAATACCCTCAGAGAAGAAATTCCTCCTCATCTCCATCTTAAATGGATAACCCCTTACTCTGACATTAACCCTCTGAGCCTGAACGAAGCAAACTTTTCACATCTATCCTGTCTAGTGGGCCTGTGAATCTTGTATGTTCCGATAAGGACACCTCTCACTCACCTCTCAACGTGTACTAGCCCAATCTACTCAACCACTCCTCATTAAACGGGCCCTCATACCTGGAATCAGCCGAGCGAACCTTCTCTGGACTATAATATTCAATTAAATCACTGCTTCATCTTTTTGGTGTCAACAATGATGAACTTAGTGTAAAATCTCCTGATGGTCAAATGCTTTGGCCCCACTAACCCTCTGGTGGAGCTGTCTGTAAAATGGATCTCAAGCCACATGGTGATGTTTGAAAGAGACACAAATTCACTACTTCACAATTTGTTTGTTTACAGAATGCATCACTTCATCTCTCCGGCTCCTTACTCCCAACTACTAACTAGCCTAGTGTCTCAGCAGACATATTCCTAAGGCTCTTTTGAATAGTCAAATAAACCAGTTAAAAACGTTAAGAACTAGCTCTTAAAGAAACACTGTATTAAAACCAAGTAACAACTTTAGATTGGGGAGAGAGAATGCACTCCAGCCCCTGCTGTGCCCAATAGTTGCAGCTGGCCTTCAATGCACAGGGAGATCTCACAAATACCCAGCCATCCCTGGAAAGGCTATGTGCAAGAGGAATGGACAGTGAGGACACTATTGGACCTGTTGATGGTCACCCTGACCATGCACAGGAACCACTGTGACTGCCCACTGCTAAGCTGTTTGGAGTGCTATGGCACACCTGAGTGTCCATCATACTGAGGTGGAACTTGAACTGGGTCTTCTGGCACAGAGATAGGGACATAAAGACCCTTATGTGTTTTCAGGACCCATTTTTCCAAATCAACCTGTCCAGAGATGTTATTATTCACCTCTGGAGCACTGTGGGACTTGAACCTGTGCCTCCAGGTCTAGGGGCAAGGACATTATCATTGCAACACAAGACCCTTGTATGGTTTCAAGAAACTGTCAATCAATACTCTCCAGCTGTTTAGCCCTAATCCTAATACAATCGACAGATCATTGCAGGGACCTCGTGACAAACTGGCAGTGTCCCTACCACTGGACCGGGAGGCCTGGGTTCAAGTCCCACCTGCTCCAGAGGTGCATAACAACAACTCTGAACAGGGTGAATAGAAAAATAGGTTGACAGATCATTGAGGGGCCTTTTGTGGTGTAGTGGTAATGCCCCCGTCTCTGAGCTAGGAGGCCTGGATTCAAGTCCCACCTTCTCCAGAGGTGTGAGATAACATCACTGAATGGATCGATCAGGAAATATCTTGATAGATCATTGACACTGCTTAGTTCTCCTTCCCACTATACTGGTCCTGAACAGCGGTACTCAAAGAGCTTGAACATCAATGCTGTTTCAGGGTGAGCAGCAGACAAAACAATATTCAACTATGAAGATCTGGATGTACAGAATGTGGAAACGCCGTCCTTACCTATAGAAGTACGAGCAGCCTCTGACAGTGTTGTGAGTGAAATGTTCCTGAGACTTCTCATTTCCAAAGTCTTCTAGTGGGTCTGACCACAATAGATCACACATGGGCCCATAAGCTGGGGGTTCTTTGAATCTATCTAACTACAAGGGGGAAAAAAATTCAAACCATCAATGTTGAGAATAGTCAGGTTTGACAGCAACTGTTAGAGGCCATTTTGTAAACACACAACAATTTTTTAAATCTTTTGAAAGAATTGACAAGGCAGTGAACTTAGTGTCTTGCAGCATGATTCCATGCTCCCAGCAGTCTCTCACTTACAGGAGTGAATCAATATCTCAGCAACAGAGATTCAATGTACTGAAGAGAAAGCACAGCCTTTGAGTAATTTTTTCCCGAGAGCAAGTTTAATGAAATTCCACATAACAGACCTTGCCCTTACACTGAAACACATCAATAGTACAGCATGTATGTCAGTGTCCAGCACTCACTACAGAAAAGTCATTGCAAATTTTAAATTGAGGCAAGAAAGTCCCCCATTAACTCTTTCTATTAGCACTGCTTGCACAGAATCCTAGTCACTACATACATTAATTGAAATGTATTAAATCATGATATATCGCAGATCTAGGGAGGAACTTGAAAATTGATGAAACAGCAAGATGCACCTTGCACTCTTCAGGACAGCCATGCAAGAAAACCAAATTTCAAAGGGACCAACAACTTATAAAGCAAGAAGAAAGGATGCTGATTGGTTGAGGCGTAGCCATGGGACTTCAGCCATAACCAGGTGCTAAACAAGAAACCGGGTGACACGGTGGCTCAATGGTTAGCACTGCTGCCTCACAGCGCCAAGGAACCGGGTTCAATTCCGCCCTCAGGCGACTGTCTGTGTGGAGTTTGCACATTCTCCCCATGTCTGCGTGGGTTTCCTCCGGGAACTCTGGTTTCCTCCCACAGTCCAAAGATGTGCAGGCTGGCCATGCTAAATTGCCCGTATTGTTTAGGGATGAGTAGGTTAGGTACGTTAGCCATGGGAAATGTAGGGTTACAGGGATAGGGTAGGCGGGTTAGCCATCGGTAACTGCGCCTTTAGTTGTCTGGCTATGATCTCTGGATTCCCTTCCTACACCACCCCTCTGCTGCCTCCTCCCTTAGGAGGCTCATTAAAATTCATCACTTTGGACCTAACAGCTGCTTACATGGACAACCCTCCCATGAAACATTTGTGTTAAAAACACTAAATAAATCCAAGTTTTTATTAAAGACATGAGGCAAAAATGAGCATTGTGATCCAATCCAGGGCAGCTATCCATCCCCACACAAACCGCCGATTCCCTTCCCAACAAAAACAAAACCAGCAACAAACAAAATTAAATCACTTCTGATGAAAAGGTCATTGACCAGCAAATGTAAACTCTTTCTCTCAAGTTTTCACAGGAAGGTTGCGCTGATTATCGAATCCCACTGCATGATTGATTAATTGATTTATTGCCACGTGTACCAGAGTACAGTGAAAAGCTTTGTTTACGAACAGTACAGGCAGGTCATAGTAAGCAAAGGATGTACAGATCAAAGGTAAAAAAAACACCTTAGAGGCATACAGGTTACATTGCACAGGGCGTGCGCTTGGTAAGATCAGCATTAATTGAGGCTAGAGAGTCCATTCAACAGTCAGATAGTGGCCAGGAAGAAGCTGCTCCTGAACCCGTTTGCGTGTGTGTTCAGGCTTCTGTATCTTCTGCCTGATGGAGGAGGCTGTAGGAGATCATTACTGGGGTGCGATGGGTCTTTGATGATGTTAACAGCCCTTCTGCAGCAACGAGCAGTGTAAATGGAGTCTATGGATGGAAGGTTGGCCTCCATGATGGTCTGGGCTGTGCACCACCTTCTGTAGTTTCTTACGGTCCTGGGCAGAGCAGTTGCCATACCAGGCCGTTATGCACCCGGACAGTATGCTTTCAATGGTGTATCTGTAGAAGTTGGTGAGGGGCGTTATGGACATAGCAAATTTCCTGAGCTGTCCGAGGAAGAAGAGGCGTTTGTTGTGCCTTTGTGACCGTCACATTTACATGGGAAGTCCAGGGCAGATTGTTTGTTATCGTCACTCTGAGGGACTGGATGCTCTTCACCCTCTCAACCTCAGTTCCGTTAATGTAGATGGGGGCATGTTCTTCTCCCTTCTTTCTGAAGTCAATGATCAGTCCTTTAGTTTCGCTGATATTTAGAAACAGATTGTTTTCATTGCACCATGTCACCAAGCCCTCTATCTCCCTTCTGTAGTTTGACTCGTCGTTGTTAGATACCATGGTGGTGTTGTCAGCGAACTTGTAGATGGTGTTCGTTCAGAATTTGGCAGCACTGTCATACGTGTACAGGGAGTATAGCAGGGGTCTGAGGATGCATCCTTGGGGAGTGGGGGGCGCTGGAGGCACTCCAGTGTTGAGTGTTATTGTGGAGGAGGTGCAGTTACCTATCCTCACTGCGGCCTATGGGTCAGAAAGCCGAGGATACAGTTGCAGAGGGTGGAGCTGAGACCAAAGTGTCTCAGTTTTGAGATCAGTCTGGAGGGGATAATGGTGTTGAAGGTGGAGCTATAGTTTGACGTAGATGTCTTTGTTGTCCAGATGTTCCAGAGCTAGGGATATGGCATCCTCTGTCGATCTGTTATGTCGGTAGTCAAATTGTAGGAAATTGAGGCAGGTTGGGAGACTGGAATTGATGTGGGCCATGACCAGCCTCTCGAAGCACTTCATGCCTATTGAGGTCAGAGCCACTAAGCTACTTAACCAGTCATACCACTAGTCTAAATATTTGTATTCAATCATTAAAATTCCTTTTGTAATGGAATCCAAAATAAAAGACTTTCACAGTTTTCTTCAATAAACTCAAAATAATCTGTTTATTAGAAAATAAATCACTTAAAACCAAGTGACAAATACTGAACAACTGAAAAATAATCCATAGTTAGTACATTATCTCCCCACACCCACAGACACAACAGAAAAGCCAACAGATTCTGTAGAGATGACTGCATTTTAGTAAGACAACAAAGAACGCCACTGGTGCCAAGGGACTGAAATTAATCAACAGAATTTGGTGAATCCTCATGGTCCACCAGGGTTCAGTGACAAAATCAAATTGCAACAGCCGTAGACCGATGGAAGATCAACTGTTCAGACTAAAACCAAGCTTGTTCTGAGTCTTGGAGAATGGCTACAGTTCAGCTCCTCAAGAGTCCATAAAGTAGTCAGGAATATTAATATCTGGAAACTTATCATGTTCTCAGAAATGTCGGCTGAAAGAGGAAGAGGCCCTGGGATTTTCTTCCTTCTGATAAATGTGAGTTCTGTTTTTACAGACTAAGTCTATGAGGTGTTGTCTTTTGGATTAGTGGTTACAATTAGATTCCATTAACATTTAAAGAGGAACAGGGAGTTCTGCTCATTGTCCATCAGCCACTATCATTAAAACCAGATCTGATTATCTTTTATTCATTCATAGGATATGGGCGTTGCTGGCTGGGCAGCATTTACTGCCTATTTTTTTTTAGAAAGTGTTGGTGTAGGTAGACCCACAATGCCCTTAGGGAGGGAATTCCAGTGACCCAACAACACCGAAGGAGCGGCGATATATTTCCAAGTCAGGATGGTGAGTGGCTTGGAGGGGAACTTGCAGGGGGTGGTGTTCCCATGTATCTGCTGCCCTTGTCCTTCTAGATGGAAGTGGTCTTGGGTTTGGAAGGTGCTGTCTGAGGATCTTTGGTGAATTTCTGCAGTGCATCTTGTAGACAGTACACTCTGCTGCTACTGAGCGTTGGCAGTGGAGGGAGTGGATGCTTGTGGATGTAGTGCCAACCAAGCGGCTGCTTTGTCCTGGATGGTGTCAAGCTTCTTGAGTGTTGTTGGGGCTGTACCCACCCAGGCAAATGAGGAGTATTCCATCACACTCCTGACTTGTGCCTTGCAGATGGTGGACAGGTTTTGGGGAGTCGGGGGGGGTGAGTTACTCGTCACAGGATTCCTAGCTTCTGACCAGCTCTTGGAGCCACTATTACTTGGTTGTTCGTGGGATCTTGCTGAGTACATACTGGCAGCTGCATTTTTTTTATTCATTTGTGGGATGTGGGTGTCGCTGACTGGCCAGCATTTCTTGTCCATCCCTAGTTGCCCTTGAGAAGGTGGTGGTGAGCTTCTTGAACCACTGCAGTCCATGTGCTGTGGGTTGACCCACAATGCCCTTAGGGAGGGAATTCCAGGATTTTGATCCAGTGACAATGAAGGAATGGTGATATATTTCCAAGTCAGGATGGTGAGTGGCTTGGTGGGGAACTTGGAGGTGGTGGTGTTCCCATATGTCTGATGCCCTTGTCCTTCTAGATGGAAGTGGTCGTTGGTTTGGAAGGTGCTGTCTGAGGATCTGCATTTTATTACATTACAACAGGGACTAAGTGTTTCACTGGCTGTGAAGTGCTTTGGGCTGTCCTCGGGGGTTGTGATAGGCACTATGTAAATTCAAGTTGTTCTTTCTAACACTGAAGCAGCTCTCAGTAACATTAAAAGCTGAAGTACTTCAGCAATTGGCAACAAACCAAATGTTGTGGGTTGGCCTTTTCGATTAGAAAGGAGAGAATGGACCGTGATGATGACTCTAATTGCAGCCAACACAACTTGACCCCAATGACAGCGATCACTCCTGAGAGCTGAGGTGGTGCCAGTCATCAGGACTGAGACATGAGCTAACTGTCAGACCACTGAGTCAGTTACAGACAGAATTAAACCCCCATAGGAACAGGGACCCTTGTGGTAGGATAGTTCTATCCAGAGGCTCAGAAAAATGATCCGGTCATTATCTTACTGATATTTGTCGGATCCAGCTGTGTGCAAACTGGTTGCTGCATCTTCTACATTATGAGTGACAACATTTCAAAAAAGCTTCATTGCCTCTCAAACACTTTGGGAAATACTGAGGTTGAGAACAAAGTTACAGGAAAAAAGGTTCATGATTTACTTCACATTGATAGTGAGCAGGCGAGCTATTAAAATCAAATTACAGGTCACAGCAGATTCCGTCTGTGTCTCAACTTTACCTTTAAGTCAGTGTAAAAGTTATGACCTTCCAAACCCCCTACCACTTCCATCTG